AACATCCCTAATTCCTCCAACTTGACTGTGCACATATGATACAATGTGCGAATTTGTCTTATTTTGTACACAGAATATTCGTAGAAGACAGATAGAGATTCTTAAGAGATAAAATTAATTTAGCCAGTGACGTTACAAGACAAGCTAAAGCTGATAGGGGAAATGTCAGAGCCCCTTTAATGAAATTATTAGTGTCATTGTTTTCTTTCCTGAGTAGTTGACATTTTCATAATTAACATGAACTTAGTTTATCAACAGGAAAAACTAAACCATTTCCATTTCAAAAAAAAGGAAAGCAACTCATTATTTTCATCTGTGAGCTGTAGACTACTGAAGATTTGGGGGAATAACTTAGTTATTACAATGATTCTGGAAATCCCAAAATTCTAGAATAATATTCCTTATACATGTTTGTTTCCAAATGTATGTAAATATAGTCATGATGTATATCTATGGTGACTTTTTGTTTTTCTCAATCAATGAATATTAAAAATACATGTATTATCATGTGGAGAGGGTAGGGTACAGATTTGTTATTCATAGGGTCATTATGGGTCATAGCCAACAAGATGATATTTAACAACAAAAACCACAAAGATTATAACTCATTAGCTTAGATGGGAGCTTTAAGGATTTGAGTTAAAAATAAAAATAATAGTTTTCTTATTTTAGGGATTTTTAAACTCTAAAAGAATACTGTTGTGTTGTCTCTGGAAGGTCTTTGAGAACAAATCAGGTTCTCTTCTATCTGATAGGGATTAGTTATGGTTAACTAGAAACTAAGGGGCTTTGATACTCTCTAAAGATTCCTCCTAATAAAATAGATTTCTAGAAATAACTACATTTGTTTCTCACTCATTCTGTAAAACAGAAGAACCAGAATTTTCTCAAAGATTCTTTGTCTCTAGTATTTAGTCTTCTGGCACCCTCAGCCCACACAGAGCCAAGAGAGGTCGGAAGGACCTTTTGGACACATGCAGAAGAGGGGCCTTGAGCCTCAGCTCTTGGGCCATGGGGGAGAGTATCACCAACATTCAGGATCCTGCCAAGACATTACTTTTGCCTGAGTCATCATCCTGCTTTTCCAGCTGTGCACATTAAATAGAAGACTCCAGCAATCAACAGTTACAGATTCTTTATCGGATTTAGTAACATCAGTAGTAACCAAATTAATCTTTTCTTTTGAGCAAGAAAGTCTCAAGTTACTACAATTATTTTAAAAATGTTTGACTAGTTTGCAGGGGGAAGACAGAAGGGCAATTACTTAGTATCTACAACAGAATTGTTATCAATCTGAGAGTTATTGACTTTAAATAGCTTCTTTTTTAAAAATGAGAGAGAGAATCATGATTTTCTCTCTCACTCTCTCTCTCTCTCTCACTCTCTCTTACTCTCTCTCTTTCTCTTTAATGCTAGTATGTCTGGTGGCCTAGTGGTAAGCAGCTATGCTGCAATCTTGACGACACACAGCTCAAATCCACCAACTGCTCCATGGGAGAAAGATGGGCATTCTCCTACCTGTGCAATTTACACTATTTCAGTTATGGGTCAGTTCTCACTCAATGGTACTCAATAACAACAACAATTACCATGTGGAGATACATAAAATTGTAAACATTAAAATACTAAAGCAAGACACTCTCAGGACAAGAAGGCTGTTAGCCCATACCCCGTGCCATCCCATCTGCCATTGTTTCTTTCCCTGATTGCAAACAGGTATGCCACACCCCTGAGCCAGCCCACCAAAGCTAAGTCTTTACCCCTATGGAGACACCAACAGGCACACGTGGGACAGAGAGGCTGCCAGCCCCTTTTCTGTGCCAGCCCATCTGCCATTGCTTCTTTCTCTGCTTGCAAATATGTATGCCATGCCCATGAGCCAGCCCACTGGAGCTGAGTCCTTAGATTTATGAATATATAAGACCCTAACAGGACAATGCCCTCACCTAGTGCAAGACTAAAGACAAGGACCTTCCACCTAAACTACCAGAGAGAAGAGAGATGAGGAACCTGACCATGCCACTACTCAGAACAAGGAAAGAAGGCAAGAGAAACACTGCTAAAGTTGGTGCCCCAGTCTCATGACACTCCAGAAACAAATAAAGACAATAGACTTCAGGAGAGAAGATGTCATCAGGTGAGATACACTTTCCTAGAGATAACACTACCAGATGTGGGGGGGGGGAAGGGCCTATATCTGGGGAGTCCTGCCACGACAGGGATATCCCAAGAACTAAAGAGGCCAATAGAGTTTGAGACAGGGAGCTACAAGTAGAGGAGAGACTCACTGTCTCAGCTGGAACACTTAGGTGCTAGAGGGAGAGCTACCTTCAAAACCTCCTGGACAGAAACTACTTAAGCGTTAACACCTGTTTTATCCACCAGTCGGCCATGTCACAGACAAAGGAGGACAACAGAGTTTGAGTGAGAGTACTACAATAAGGTGAGACATCTGCAGGGCTGCACTGCAAACCAGAGAGAACCAGAATGACTTTAAGAAAGGCAAACTTTCTCAGAAAGGACTTCCTGTAGAATGAGTGGTCCTCCCCCATAGATTGAACATTTTAAACTGGCAACTTATGAATAACATCATAAAGACAAGACATATTAACAATTTATGCAGAGACAATAAAAAGGGCCTAACACCAAGAAAAACTTCACTTAAGGTCAAGAAAGCAGCAGGCAGCTTCAAACGTTGTGAAAAAAACAAGTTAGGCCTTCTCCAAAAAAAGCAAAGCATATTGCAAACTGAATTAATACCACAGAGTCAGGGAGGCAGAAGACATCTATTGATATGGAGTCATACAAACAGCTACAGAAGAAGGTACAAAGGATGGAAGTAACAATGAAAGCCAGAAATAAAGTAAATACTCCAGAGGTAGAGAACCAGAAGAAATATATTAATGTAGTTATTTGAAAAGCTAAAGAAAAAGGTTCAAATGATGGAAGAAACAATGGAAACCATTGTTGTTGTTATGTGCTATCGAGTCACCTGCAACTCATAGTGACCTTATGTACAACAGCTCTGAAACTTGCCCTATCATGAGCCAGTCTCACTGTCTCAAATGCACCTACCCCAATTACTCAAATTACTGTATTTATCAATCCATCTCATCTGAGGTCTTCCTCTCCTGTGCTATCCCTCCTCCTTTCCAAGAATGATGTCATTCTCCAAGGACTGATCCCTCCTGGCCATGTGCCCAAATTATATGAGATGGAGCTTCAAAATCATTACCTCCAAGGAGCAGCTTATTCTCTTGGCAGTTCATAGCATGTTTAAGACACTTCTCCAGCACTGTAGCACAAAGGCATTGATTCTTCTTCTGTCATTCTTATTCCAGCTCTCTGATGAATAGCAAGTAATTGGGAAGATCATAATCTGAATCAGGTGCACATTAGTTTCTAGACTGACATTATTGCTCTTTGGCCTTTTGGGGTGGTCCCTGACAGAAGATCCCTCAAATGAAATTTGTCTTTTGACTTCCTGAATGGTGGTGCCAAGAGTGTTGCTTGTAGGGTCAAGCAAGTTGAAGTTGTTAACAACTTCAACCTCTTTTCCATCTATTATTGTGCTGCCAACTGTCCCAATGGTGAGAATCTTTGTCTTGTTGACATTGAGCTTCAATCCATATTGAATGCAGTCCTTGATGTTCTGCAGCAAATGCTTCAGGTTCTTCTCAGTTTTGCCAGCAAAGTTGTTTCATCTGCCTAACACAGGTTGTTAATGAGTCTTCCTCCAATTTTTACTTAATGGAAGCTATTAAGAAAGCAAATAGTCCAGAGATAGAGACCTAGAAGAAATATATTGCTGACTAGGAGGAACTTTAAAAACTTCTGGGGGAGAAGCAAAAGATGGAAGAAAGAATTGAAACTATGATAGAGAGGTACAAAATTTTAAAAAAATATTATCATGAGAAAGTACAGCCAGCACAGTATGAGAAATAACAGAAATATATAAAAATGCAATCCATAATATTAATTTAATGTTAATCCATAATATTAAATGGCAGAAGTGTCCAACAAGTTGGAAAAACAAAATAGTAAAACAGAAGAGATGGAACAGAGAGTCAGTGAACTGGAAGACAAGAACCTGAATGGAAACATACTAGAAGAAATATTTGAGCTGAGACATAAGAAAATGAATAAAACCTAAGAATCATGTGGAATGGCATCTAAAGAAACAACCTATATGTATGAATGGAATTCAAGAACACAAATGGAAAAGGGAAATCACTGAGAAAATTGGGAAAGAGATATTAGAAGAAAACTTCCCAAGTATTACGAAGAGCAGATAAATCCACATACAAGAAGCTCAGTGAACACTAAATAGGGTAGACTCAAAAAGAAAAATATCATGGTCATATTTGCCTGTTTGCTTTTGCAAATGAGAGAGAGTTTTATGCCCCTAGCAGCTCCTGGAACTGGATAAGGGATGTCACCAATATGCAAAATCCTGTCAAAACATCACCTTCAGCTAGTACAAGAATGAAGTCAAGGACTTGCTATTGAACAGTCTTATAGAGTAGATGCCTCAGTCTGGAGAACCACCCACAGCAGTACATGAAAGAAAGATTGTGTATATTAGTGCCCCTTGTCTCAAGCCACTTCTGAGGCAAATAAAGGCATCAGACATAAGGAGAGAAGATGTAAGTAGGAAGACTTCTCATCTACAAAGTGCAGGAACACCCACATCACAGGGAAGTACTTTGGCCTTGAAAATGGCTGTCAACTACATCACATGGGATTTTTTTTAAGCTCATGCAGAAGAGGTCAGGTGGAGCTGCAGTTCCTGGAAGACAACAGTCATCCCACTTCAGAAAGACAAGATGGGAGCACCAATATACAGGTCCTTCACAAAACATTGTCATACCCTGGAAATTTATATAGTTACAACAGCCTAACAACTACTAAAAAAAGGATGAACATAACGCCAAGAAAGCAGTAGTCTGGCCTCAGTCATCATGAAAAAAACCTACCTATCTCCCAAAAAAGCAGACCCAATGAGTATCCCGGATAGAGAGAACCAGAAGAAATATGTTGATGTGGATTTGTTGGAACAGCTACACAAGAAGATGCAAATGATGGAAGAAATAATGGAAGTAATTCAGAGAGCAAATACCACAGAGACAGTAATCCATAAAAAAAAAAAAAAGTATATTGATGAGGAGCAACTTGAACAGCTATGGAAGAAAATGCAAAAGATGGATGAAAGAGTTGATAGCATAAAAAAGTACAAGAACCTGTTGCTGTTATGTGCCATCGAGTTGCTTGCGACTCATAGCGACCCTATGTACAAGAGCTCTAAATGCCATTCTATCCTGTGCCAACCTAGCCATTCCAAACGCATTTATTCCCACCACTCCAGTCACAGAATCGATCCATCTCATCGAAGGTCTTCCTCTCCTTCACCTCCCCTCCATTCTGCCAAACATGATGTCCCTCTTTGCAACATGCCCATAGTATGTCAGACGAAACCTCAGAATCCTTGACTCCAAGGAGCATTCCATCTTCACCTTCTCCAGGACAAACCTGTTTGTTCTCCTAGCAGTCCATGGTATAGTCAATACTCTTCTCCAGCACCATAGCTCAAAGGCATCAATTCTCTTTCTATCATCCCTACTCACTGTCCAACTCTCTGATGCATAGCACGTAATTGCGAAGACTATAGCCCGGATCAGGCGCACCTTAGTCTCCAGCCTGATGTCGTTGCTCTTCAGTACTCTTGAGAGGTCCCACACAGCTGACTTTCCCAATGCAATTCGTCTCTTGATTTCCTGGCTGCTGTTACCAAAAGTGTTGATTGTGGAGCCAAGTAAACTAAAACTGTTAACTGTCACCACTGGGCCAATTGGCAGCATCAGTATGGATGGTGAAGAGATTGAGATAGTTAACAAGAACCTAAAAAAAATCATCAAAAGACAGAGAAAGTACAGCCAACACAGTACTAGAAATAACAGAAAATCATGAAAATGCAATCCAGAACAATACAGAAATAGCAGAATTGTCCAACATGCCAGTGGGACAAAAAAGTAGAATTGATGAGATGGAACACAGAGACAGTGAGCTGGAAGACAAGATCCTAAATGGAAACATACTAAAAGACAAGTCAAAGATAAGACATAAAGAAAACATTAGAATCATGTCTAATGACAGCAAAATGAACAGCATTTGTATGATTGGAATTAAAGAACGTGGGAGTGACAGGGAAGTCATCTGAGAAAATTGTGGAAATACTAGAAGAAAACTTTCTAGGTATTATGAAGAACAGAGAAATGCACATTCAAGAAGCACAGCAAACATTAAATAAACTAGACCCAAAAAGAAAAACATTAAGACATATCATAGTCAAGTTATCCAAATTAAAGATAAGGATAGAATACTAAAAGCCATTCAAGAAAAACAAAGAACCACGTATAGAGGGGAAATAATTTATTTCTGATTTCTCAGTGGAAACCATGTGAGCTAGAAGACAATGGATAATATATACAGAAAGTTGAAAGAAAATAATTTGCCAGCCTAGGATCCTATACTCAGCAAAGCTCTCCATCAAATACGAAGGAGAAATTAGATCCATTGCAGAAAAGAGGGAACTTAAGGAATTTGTGAAAACAAGACCAAAATGGATAAAAAGAGTAGCAATTGACGTCTTTTACATGGAGATGCCAAAGGAAAGTGGTTGGACCATAGTAACCAGAAACAACAGAAAAAGAAACAAAGCAAAATGGCAACAGTAAAACCTAGCCTGACAATAATCACACTTAATGTGAATGAAATAATTTTGCCACTTAAGAGAGAAAGAATAGCAAAATGTTTTAAAAAAAACAACAACAACAACACCAAAGCCCATAGTTCTGTTACCTACAAAAGACACATCTGAAAAATGAAGAGAAGGAAAGGCTTAAAAATCAAAGGCTAGGGAAAAAAATATACAAAACAAATGGCATCCACAAAAAAGTAGAAGTGGCAATACTAATCTCTGATAAAATAGAATTCAGAATGAAAGCCACCATAAAAGATATGAAAGGGTATTATACACTGATTAAAGGCACAATAGATCAAGAACACATAATCTTGGTTAACATTTATGCACCAAAAGATAGACCTGCAAAATATATAAATAACAGTGAACAGAACTGAAGAAAGATAAACATCTCCACAATAGTGCTAAGAAGCTTCAACACACCACTATCACCAAAGGATATGTCAACTCAAAAGAAAGTTCATGGCTGAATTCTACCAAATATTCAGAGAAGATCTATCATTAGCTCTACTTAAAGTATTTTTTAAAATATCTCCTTGTGAGCAGGTGGCCACTGTCAACACTTCTATTCAGTATTGTATTGGAAGTACTTGCTAGGGCAATACCACAACAGAAAGAAATAAAAGATATCCAGATCAGCAAAGAGATGGTTAAACTGTCACTATAGTCAGATGTTATGACAGTGTACACAGAAAAACCCATGTATGCAGCAACAACAACAACAACAACAAAAATATTAGCGCTGGTAGACCAATTTAGTAGAGTGGCAGGATATAAGATCAATAGCCAAAAATCAGTGGGATTCCTCCACAGTAATAAAAAGAACTCAGAGAAGGACACCAAGAAAACACTATCATTTATAATAGACACCACAAATTGAGATACTTCAGAGTGAACCTAACTAGATATACAGATGACCTAAAAAAGAAAACTACAGAACGTAACAGATAAGAATAGAAAACGGAAGGCAGTATGAGAAAAACAAAGAGGCACCTACAAGAAAAAAAAATAGATCAAATTCTGATTTTCAGCAAAAATTATGCAAGCAAGAAGACAATAGGATCACATATACAAAAAGTGTAAAGAAAACAATTATGGGTCAAAGATTCTGTATCCAGAAAAGCTGTCCATAAAATATGAAGGAGAAATTAGGTCATTTGCTGAAAAGAAGGAATTTGTGAAAATAAGACCAACACTACAAGAAATTGTAAGAGAAGTCTTTCACACAAGATTGCAAAGGCAAATGGATGGACCATAGTAACCAAAAACAATAGAAAAGGAAACACAGCAAAATAGCAATGATAAAACCTGTCCTATCTCCATAATAGTCTATGTGTTTCCTACTGCCAAAGGGGCCCTTTAGAGTAGTGAGAGAAGATCTTCACCCTGAAACCCACAGCGTCCCTT